GGCCACGTTATTATCTTGACTTCTTTTCTTAGATGGCATCTGAAAGGAAAGTAGATAAGCCACAAAAATACTTAAATCTGTTTTAAGGAGAATCATATTTATTCTTTCCTGGAAATCCACAGTGAATAATATTAGATCTTCTTTTCAAATCACAATTTCAGAGCCAGGTTGTCATATCTCATATCATCACATAGTTATACCGAACTTAATGGTGAAAATGAAGGCTTATTGAAGTATGGCTGTAAGCTAAAGCAAATGTGGGAGAGCCTACAGATTTTCACAATTTGCAGAAGTCCAGCTCATAGTTTTGTCTACTAGTTCGGGTATCAGTCAGAAGCATTATAAATTGTAAATGTTGCATATTGAGGCATTTGAATATAGCCATAAAATATGTAAAACAAAATGCAGGAGGACTTTCCAATAGCAGCTTGAAAATGTAAACACTCACTTTTTACCTCAGTAACTAGTACTGTTCACTTTTACTGCAAGGACATGCCATGTGACACTCTTACCATGATAACTTAGAAAGTCGTTATTTCAACATCTATGCTACACTAAACATTGATATCATTATGAGAAAATGTAGGTATTTAGAAATTGAAACAGCTGTTGCAGGAAGAAAAATACTTAATTATGCAAGTGTGGACTAGATAACTTGTTCATTTCGATTCACATGTTTTTATTACTCTTTCTAAATGCTAGGCAATTAGGGAAGCAAAGAAACCTTTAAAACAGAGACCTCAATAAATGTGTGGCTGGCAATTTTATCAGAATCTCAATAATTATTTTGTTCAGTGTAATTCCTTCTGTTAGCAGTTTCAAATATGTTTATAAGTATACATAAATATAATTTTGCTTGAATTTTGTTGTAACCACATTTACATTGCAAATTATTTAGAGAAATCTAGAAATAATGCTTTCTATGAAAGGTACAAATATATATTCAGTAATGATTCATAATTTACTCCAGGAATAATATTTGAGCATGAAGAGTTACAGTAATTGGAAGCAGAACAATAAAGTATTAAAATGAAAATTTGTTGCCTCCACTATATATCAACTTTAAAATAAATTTCTTAGGTATCTTAAATATTCAAAATTTTAGTGATCCATACCAATTCTGCAAGAAAGTGGGGGATGGAACAGGTGCTCACGCAACCCTCCCTTCCAGCCAGGCAGAGTGTCATTCACTGACCCAGCGGTATCATGAAGGTGCCAAGCTGTGTGAGCGCCTGTTTCCCCCCCGCCAAGCTCCCTTAGCTTGGCACCTTCAGGATACCGCTGGGTCGGTGAGTGTGGCTCTGCCAGGGGGGGGGGGGTTGTCGGGCGGCTGCTCTCTTGCAAGCAGGCTCCCGTACAACCTGGCACGGGTACAGAAGGATGTGGGCACAGCCTTAGAGGCGAATGGCTGTGTTGCACTGTCAGAGCAGCGCAACACAGCAGCTATGAGGTGACCACCTCACTGCCTCCTGCACCCCCAAAAGAATAAGCCCCCCTGATAATAAGGCCAAGGCCATATTTTGGGGGTCAAAAGAAAATAAGATCCTGCCTTATTTTTGGGGAAACACGGTAGATAATTTGATTGATGAGAAAGGAGTTAGTTTATATATGATATTAAATTATTCAGGATTATTCAAGTTAATTATTAAACAAAATAATAAACAGAAGCTCCAGAAGGATTTCTTTAGACTCAGAAAATGATCAATCAAACAGTAAACGTGATTCAATTTATATGTGCAGAATGGTACACATAGGAGCCAAAGCCAAATTCATATTTCCTGTTCTAAAAAACAGGAAAAAAGATCTTGATGTAATGTTGGATATCTCAATGAAGATGCTGATCAATTTGCAGCAGAGGTAAAAAGGCAAATTCCTTATGGAAGAGTTCATCAGGAAAGGAACTGAAAACAAAACTATCAACAATATAGTGCAAATATACAGAATGGTGGAATAGCTTAAAAACATTATAACAAAGTGGGAAAATGCAGAAGGCAATGAAAATCATCAAGGAACACAAGCACCTTCCTTACAAGAAAATCTAGATTGTGTGGAACTTCAGTTTAGAGAGAAGATAACTGAGGGCAGACATGATTAGTTTGTTTATTAGATTTGCAGGCTATTTTCTCTAGAGACATGTTTGAATTGTATAAAATCGTACATGATATGGAGAATGTAATGGATGGACAGAACATTTTTCTTCCTCTTTTAAAACACTTAGAAGCAGGGGTTATCCAATGAAACTGAAAGGAATATATTTTGAATAGAAAAATTACTCTCCACAGTGCATAATTAACCTGTGTTTATAACCATTCATCAGGTGACTTTTAAAAATAGTTTGGATAAATTCAAGGAGGACAGGCCTACTGAGAGCTATTAGCCTTGACGATTTAATGGGACCACTGGGCTGGGGCAGCATGGATCTAAATATTACTTTGCAGAAGAGAGATATGTCTGCTATTGTTTAGTACCTCAGAGCCAATAAGCTTCTGTGAAAAAATGCTGCCTGAATATTGTCTTTAGCCTATTACAGTAGAGTTATTATTTTGTTATTAAATTGTTACTAAAAATATCAAATATACAAAACAACCTGGAGTAATTCTTACAGAACTGTAAATGTAAAAAGATATTGCACTGCTTTATTACACCTTTATCTTCAGGTTGCTATTATTCCTATGGAAATGAAATGATTAGTACAGTAATTGTGGATAGATATTCATTAAAAAAAACTGTTTAAACTTAATCGCTTTCCAACCACATTCTGCATATAATTTAAAAACTACCACTGACTTTCTCCAGAAACACTTCACAGCACAATACTAAAATAACTGATGCATATTTGAAAAATGAAATTCATACTAAGTAGTTATGCAAAAAGTAAATTGTACCTAAAAATAATTTGGCAAATCACACTTGCATGTATTTATAAAACTATTCCCCTTTATTCCTGCCCCAGTATATCATTTTAGAGCTAGGTAGTTAGAACTTAGTTAGTAAAAATATTCAGATGAATAAAATATTAATCAACCTTTGCTTTAAAAGGAGCAAGACAGATTTTTGCACTGAATCCAGTTTTGGGTGCTAAGAATAATCTGCTGCATCTTTTTGCCAACAAGAAACCAAATGCCAAGAGACATGTCCCATTTGTGCTAAAGTCCTGTCAAGAGGGCACGTGAGTATGTTTGTGAAAAAAAATTAACACAATCCACTAGTTACTTTTAATGTCTCTGAGTTAGAAAGGTAGCAATTCAACCTTTTTTCTTAATTCTGTAAATTGTTGAAAGACAGCCCCTCCCCTGCCTGTTTATCTGAGACAACTATACACAACACAGAGAGGTATCTCTTCTCTCCTTGCATTTTCTGCCCTCCTAGGGTAATGCATTAGGGTCAAAAGATGTCATTATGGCACTTGTGGGGAAAAGGGATGAAGAACTGATAGGATAATGTTATTGACAGGCTTCCTGCAGTTACATCTATCCTTGGCAGACTTAAAGAGGAGAAAAATCCAGAGCAGTATCCTATGTAGCAAAATAAACAATTCAGCAATATTTCACTTGGCCTGGTGATTTCGATGGAAAGTTCCCCAATCAAACTTTTTTGGAGGGTTTCACTACTGTATTTTCACAAAGTAGGTTTTTTCCTACAAAGTAGGTTACCAGGGGCTAAGGAAGCTGCGTCTGTAGCAACAGTTCAGGGGGGGGGGGCAGCGCTAGAACTGCAGCCTTTTCCCCAACTTGATGCCCTCCTGTGAAACTGGACTTCCACACACATCCCTGTCATCCTGCAGACAGCTTCATGGAAACTGCAGTGCAATAAAAACGGGAAGGCACCAGGTCGGGGAAAGCTCGTATTAAGCAGACGACGGTTTTCCTGGCGACTGAGGTCCCGTAAATCAGGCCGGGGAAGCTTTATTTTTTTTNGGTTTCGAGTCAGGGGTAGAGTGGGGGTATGGATAGGCAGTCCTGGCTCAGGTGCAGCCCTTCCTCGCTTTGCACCGGCCCCCAATGCGGATGCAAGCAAGGAGGGGGATCCCTTGCAAGAAAGAGGAGGGGGTCTCTTTGCACGGTGGGCTCTGCGCCCCCTTTCTGTGCCCCCCGCCCGAAACCTCCCCACAGCATGCGATCCCTTTGCTCCTCTTTGGATGGGCGTGTGTGTGCAAGTTGCACGCTTGCAGGCAAGAAGCGAGTTTCACGCGTGTAGCTCACGAAGAGACGCCCGGAAAATGCGTTTCTAAGGAGCCACGGAATTCATTGAGCCCCAAACCTGCCGTTAAGTGAGACGTTTGTTTTGCTCCGCTTTGTGACTTTCCTGGCCGCCATTGTTAAGCGAATCGCTGCAGTCATTGAGTTACTAACCTGTTGAAGCGAAGCTGGCTTCCCCTTGGACTTGGCTTGTGAGGTCGCGAAAGGGGATCGCAGTGACCCTGGGACACTGCAACCGTCATAAATATGAGTCAGTTGCCCAGCATCTGCATTTTGATCACATGACTGTGGGAATGCTGCAACTGTCACGTCACTTTCTTCAATGCTGCTCTAACTTTGGCCACTGAACGAATGGTCGAAAGCCGAGGACGACAAAATTGGGGGAATTGTGTTCTTGGGGGTCTATTACGACAATCTGCCCCTGTAATTTTGAACGGCCACTATATACATTGTTGTAAGTCGAGGACTGCCTACACAGGAAATAACATCATTTGCTGAGACTCAGGAAGCTGCTTCCCTGTTGCTATCTTGCCCTGTGGAAAAACACACCCCACCCCACTCCCCCACAACATTTGGGGCTGGAAACCTCTCCCCCCCCCTCCCACTTTTGCATAATGAATCACAGGTTGGAGTTTCCGGGAGTTGGAGTTTCCAAGTCTTGGGCTCTCCCTAGGGCTGGATAAAAAGCCCATAATCCCCAACTTGGATTGGCTCTAGGATTTAAGATCTGCTCCAATCCAACCCATCTCAAGAGCATACAGGCCAGGGACAGTGCCAGGGCAGAATAAATGACCCCGAAACCAGTAATGCAACACTTGTTTATATTATTTCAGGGACAAAGTTAAGAAATGCGAGATTATTTTTATGGAAATAAAAGACGCCAAACCGGCCATAAAACACTCTTTACACACTTCTTTGACCTCTATTTTTTTTTCTCTATGCCTGGCCGCAAAAGCCCTTGTGATAAAGATGTCTTAATTAAATTTAAATAAAATTATGTTCTTTTTTTTAAAATGTACAACTTTTAACTTTAAAGCACATCTCTTGCTGAAATAAAACTCTTCTTTTAAGTAACCGTAATTCCATGCAATCGCTTTGCAACCCACTAAATTCATGCAACAGTCAAACCAGTCACAAAAAAAAAAAATGTATTTCCCCCCCAGGAATGGCATTCCCTCATCCGCTGTTGTCTCAAAAGCCAACTTTAAAGCTCCTGTAGAATAGGATACACTTGAAGTGCAACTGCAGATACAAACACAGGTTCTGAAAAGACCCCGTTCTGTCTGTACACAGAGGACACAATAGGACAAACGACATACAAATCTGCAACGAACAAAAAGTAAGAGACTCTGGACTTCAGGTATACCTCCATAGCAAAATAAAGCTAATTATGGGAAACCAGGTGGGTTGGCATTAACAAGAGGCCCGTCATAAAGCCTTTTCTGCATTTCCTAGAAATACGGATAAAATACAATATTCAGAAATATACAGGGAAAATTACAGCACTCGACGCTGGTATAAAAATATAACACACTGTCCTTGTTCAACAACGATGTGAAGCAAATACAAAGAAATCCCGAGAAACAGGAACGAGTTTTACCCAAACAGACGTGTGGAAATCTTATAAAACGATCCAAAAGACACGATTTCGTTTTTTTTTTTAATCTTCGGCCTCCCGCGAGGAGGACACGGAAGACGGCCGGACACAAGGACGGGCGTTCCTTCCGATGGCTGGTTCATGCTAGGGGGTCCTGAGGCTTGGGAAGCCTGGTGCTGCAGATCTAGGAAAGATGGAACGGCGAATGCTGGCTTTCACTGGGCCCCATTTTTCATTCAAGCAGGGCCAGGATGTTGGGTGGCACGAGATGCACAAAGGGGATACGTACTTCCCACTCCTCTAATTCAGCATTTCGGAGCCCGAAACAGGAGGGGAATGTTAGAAGGAAAAACTACCCTGTTCTCACAGACTTCTGCAGGGGTAGCACCCCTGACCCCTGACTCTTCACCTCTGGTGGCGTGGGTCTCCTGAGTGGCTCTTAAGAACCTGATTCTGCTTGGGCAGAATAGTGCACAAACCCTTTTGCGTATCGAAATATTCCCCCTCTAAATGCTCAAAACGCCGTTCCAGAGTTTGCTTTCCCTATGAAGCTAAGGACGAATAATTCACTCTGTTGGGAGTGTTTATCTCCAACCTCTGCACAAACTCACTTGTCCATAAAGTTTATGTGTCTGTCCTGTTTGTGTTTGAAACCTGGTTTCTTACAGCTTCCAGAACAGCTAAGATCACCAGCGGGCTGATTTCCAAAGCAAGACCGTTGGCAGATCATTGCAAAGGGGGGTGGGTGAGCATTGGGGGGTCCTGAATTAAATTCTGCTCGAGGCCAACAAGGCAGATGATCTATTTGCTGCCAGCAGAAGAGACAGCGGGGCAATAAGAAAAAAAAAAAGACCACAATTTCTGGAATTGTATGCAGAGGCTTCAGAAAAGGGCCTGGATTTTTTTGCCCACAGGCCGTCCAGAAATCTTAACTGCCACATTTTGTTTATCTCTTTTTATCGTCTTTTATTCGTCTTTTTATCCCCTGTCTGTACCCCCTTCCCTGACCGAATTGTGAGCCGCCCTGAGTCCCCTTCGAGGAAAAGGGCGGCATATAAATGAAATAAATCCTAATCTCACGCCCCACTTTTATCTACCCATCTCAGCTGATAAGGCAGGCTGGAATTAGCCATTAATTGGGGGGAAAAAATCAATCTCAAATTGAGACCAAGCTCTGGGTGAAACCAGGGAGGTCAGCCTTCCCCTCTGCTGCTGCTGGTGATGAATTAATTAAAGAGCATCCAGAGGGGGGGAGGAAAGTAGGACAGAGGAGATTGTGTGGTGCCAACACAACCCTGGAAAAGCAGAGAAGGGGAGCCTGGGGTCTTTTTCCAGGAGACTTTGCCACCAACCTGGGCAACAGGTAACAAGACTCTGAAATAAAGTAAGGACCGTTTCGAGACCAGAATGCAAAACAATAAAAGCAAAACGTAAGAATCCTGGCCCCTTCCAACACAATGCTATTGATTGGATCTTCTTTGATCCAATCCACAAACCACTGGATCGCCGGAGGAGATCTTGCTGGTGCCTGGTGTGGCCTGGCCACAGAGGTGTTTGGGGGAAAATTGGCTGGCAAGAGCTACAACGGCGCTGGAAAAGAGTTCCTAGATTTGGCCATCGCAAACGTGCAAATCTCCTCGTAATACTGTCCACCGTTGACTGAAGTTCTCCAGATGATCAAAAGCAGCAGGAAGCCACGCCTGTTGGGGCCATCCCTGACCGAGTAGAGAGGCAGTGGGGTTGGAATGGCTGGAAGGGACGTCCTTCCCTTGAAGCCAAAGTTCATCGAAGTTCCTTTCTTTTGGCAGTTTAAATCACACGTTATCAACACTTGTTGTGAGGGTTTGGGAGTTTGGTCTTTTTGGTGAGTATCTGGCACATCCAGCAGCCGAAAGAGAAGGTTTTAGTTCTCGCCGTGGTCCTCTTCCACCCAAGCCACAATCTTTCCCTCCCATCCAGGAATAACATCATCGTCATGGAAAACCTACATGGAAAGCAAAGAGAAGGACATTATCCATCCATCCATCCATCGCAATGCTTCTCAACCTGAGCTAAGGAATTCTGGAAGTTTGAAGGCCACCCATCTTAAAATTGTCAGGGCTGAGAAACACCAGTCTATTCATTCTGTCCGTCCGTCCGTCCGTCCATCCATCCATCCATCCATCCATCCATCCATCCATCCATCCATCCATCCATCCACAGCAATTTTGACAACTCAGACTCAGTTGGCTGAGGAACTCTGGGAGTTGAAAACCACACATTTTAAAGTTGTGATGGTTAAGTAAAACCGGTCCATCCATCCATGCATCCATCCATCCACCGTATTTTTCGGACTATAAGATGCACTTTTTTGCCTCCCCAAAGGGAGTGAAAATGTCTGTTCATCTTATAGACCTAATATTACTGAAGCCATATCCACCGGCTGGCCACTTTTTGGCCTCCGTACGGCCCTTTTTCAGGCCTTTTGGGGGGGACGCATTTTTGAGGCTTTTTTCGGCCCGTTTTTGAGGTTTTTGATGGCCCATTTTTGAAGGGGTTTTTGGGGGGCCATTTTAAGGTTTTTTTCAGCACATTTTCCCCAAAACAATGTGCCAAATAGCCTCAAAAACGGGCCAAAAAACCTTCAAAAAAGGGCCAAAAAAAGACTCATAAAAGGGCCAAAAAGACTCAAAAACGGGCTGAAAAAGCCTTGAAAATGGGTAGAAAAAAAAGGCTGGAAAAGGAATCAAAAATTTTTGGCACAGAGGCCAAAAACCTTTTTTTCTTTGTTTTCCTCTTCTAAATTTAGCTGCGTCTTATAATCCCAAAATATGGCAATTTATAAACCACTTACAACAGTTCATTTAGTCAATCAATCGGAATAGAGCTGGAAGGGACCTTTGAGGTCTTCCAGTCCAGCCCCCCCAACGCTCAAGTGACCGTTCCGAGTTACAAGAGCCCAGAAAAAAGTGACTTACGGCCATTTTTCACACGTTATGACCATTGCAGCATCCCCATGATCACATGATTTACATTCAGACACTTAAGCCGGATTCACTTAACAACGGGGCTAGTCATTTAACAGCTGCAGTGATTCGCTTAACGAACGTGGCAAGAAGTCGTAAAATGGGGCAAGGCTCACTTTAGCAAATGTCTCACTTAGCAACGTTAAGCGTTGGGCTCAATTGTCGAGGGCCACCTGTACTCCTCTCTCCCACAGAGCAACCGGGGGGCAGCGTATGATTGAAGCATAAAAACCACAGCAGCCTTGATGAAAAGACTGTGGAAGAGCCCAAGGCCGAAAACCGCCCTTCAATCGCCTCTTCAGCATTTCTAGGACAGGCGTTGAGTTGTGTCCCCACAATTCGGGAGAAACCGAACCACACTCTGCACTGCACAATAGCAGTAGACTTATATACCGCTTCATAGGGCTTTCAGCCCTCTCTAAGCGGTTTACAGAGTCAGCATATCGCCCCCAACAACAATCCGGGTCCTCATTTCACCCACCTCGGAAGGATGGAAGGCTGAGTCAACCCTGAGCCGGTGGGATTTGAACCGCTGAACTGCTGATCTAGCAGTAGCCTGCAGTGCTGCATTTAACCACTGCGCCACCTTGGCAAATGGGAACTCAACACTACCCACCCCTGGAGCGCTCTGGAGGGGAAAACACAGCTGACCCACTTTTTCTAGCTGACTGGGAGTTTTTCAGGGCTGCAGGGTGTGATTTTTCTCATGCTCACACATGCATATGAGCACCCATGTGTAAGCACACACACGCGCGCGCTTCCCTGTCCCGTGGCTCTCGCTCCACTGATGAGAGCCAAACACAAGCATTTCCAGGGAGAAGAAACATCCCATCTGCTCTGTGAGAGCATAAAACAAACTCCTTGTCCCGACAAAAAACCCCTTTTACTAATTGATTCTGGCGACTTCAAACAGTCACTATAGCAATAGCAATAGCAGTTAGACTTATATACCGCTTCACAGGGCTTTCAGCCCCTCTCTAAGCGGTTTACAGAGTCAAGAGGAAGGGAGGGAGGAAGAGGGATAGAGGGAAAGAGGAAAGACAGATGAAGAGAGGGAGAGGAAGAGGAAGAGAGGAGGGGGAAGAGAGGGAGAGAGAGGGAAGGAGGGAGATGGAGAAAAGAAGAGAGGGAAAGAGAGGAAAGGAGGGAGAAGGGGGGAGACAGAGAGAAAGAGAAAAAAGGAGAGAGGGAAAAAGAGAAAAGGAGGAAGAGAGGGAGAGAGATGGAGAATATAGCAATAGAAATAAGTAGACTTATATACCGCTTCATAGGGCTTTCAGCCCTCTCTAAGCGGTTTACAGAGTCAGCATATCGCCCCCAACAACAATCCGGGTCCTCATTTCACCCACCTCGGAAGGACGGAAGGCTGAGTCAACCCTGAGCCGGTGAGATTTGAACAGCCGAACTGCAGAACTAGCAATCAGCTGAAGTAGCCTGCAGTGCTGCATTTAACCACTGCGCCACCTCGGCTCTGCAATTAATGAACTGCTGTCACTATGAGCATTTACAGGTGTCGTCCCGCCAGGTGTGCCCTTACCTCCTCTTTGACCGTCCCAAACTCTGGATCCAGAGCTTTGAAGTGGTACCGGTGCGTCCCATCTCGGTCAATGGCCGATTTGAAGTCCCTTAGCGTCACCTCCCCTAATCTGCAAAGCAAGAGAGGAGAGGGAGCGCGTGCTACCACCCGGCTAGATGTCAACCTCCCTGCCCAGGGTGGGGATCCCTTGGAGACACCAATTCTGGGCTCTTGGGAAGCGGATCTAGGGTTGGGGGAGAGGGAGGGGGCTCACCTCTTTGGAATGCTGACCATGAAGGGGGTGAGGGAGCGATCGGTAAAGTACAGCACTTTGGTACAAGGGCTGTTGCTGACCGCTGGTGTGCTGTGGGAATGAGGCAGTTCTGCAAAGAGGAGGAGAGAGAGGCAGGCTGAGCGACCACCTTCTTTTGGCAGACACGGGTTTCATTCCCGCAGCTTTCTACCCCCAAAACGACGCTACAGGGCACTGCGCACCAGAACAATTAGACACAAGGACAGTTTTCCCCCAAATGCCATCCCTCTGCTAAACAAATAATCCCCACAACACTCTCCAATGACCTACTACGTGTACAGTATTACTATTCTTCTTCTCATCCTTCCTAGTCCCTATCCCTTCCCATTTATGACGATAACCATGTTGCTTGCATCTTTTACAATTTATATTGTTTTATTTGTTTCCTAGGACGATTTGATTGCTTATTAGTTACCTATGGCTATCACTAAGTATCTTATGATTCTTGACGAATGTATTCTATTTTATTTTTCTTTATGTACACTGAGAGCATCTGCACCAAAGACAAATTCCTTCTGTGTCCAACCACACTTGGCCAATAAAGAATCCTATCCTATCCTATTTTCTTATTCCATTCCATTCCATATTTCTATTCTATTCCATATTTCTATTTCCATTATTCTATTCTCTATTTCTATTCTATTCTTTCCTATTTTTTCTATTCTGTTCTACTCTACCCTACCCTAACCTACCCCTATCCTATCCTATCCTATCCTATTTTCTTATTCCATTCCATATTTCTATTCCATATTTCTATTTCCATTATTCTATTCTCTATTTCTATTCTATTCTTTCCTATTTTTTCTATTCTATTCTATTCTATTCTATTCTACTTTATCCTACCCTACCCTATTCCTATCCTATCCTATCCTATTTTCTTATTCCATTCCATATTTCTATTCTATTCTGTATTTCTATTTCCATTATTCTATTCTCTATTTCTATTCTATTCTTTCCTATTTTTTCTATTCTATTCTATTCTATTCTATTCTACTTTATCCTACCCTACCCTATTCCTATCCTATCCTATCCTATTTTCTTATTCCATTCCATATTTCTATTCTATTCTATCCCATATTTCTATTTCCATTATTCTATTCTCTATTTCTATTCTATTCTTTCCTATTTTTTCTATTCTATTCTACTCTACCCTACCCTAACCTACCCCTATCCTATCCTATCCTATTTTCTTATTCCATTCCATATTTCTATTCTATTCTGTATTTCTATTTCCATTATTCTATTCTCTATTTCTATTCTATTCTTTCCTATTTTTTCTAT